CCCCCAGCCGTAGCTCCTGCGGTAGGTGTACGCCGTCCCGTAGTTGCAGGGCGAGTAGCACACGTCGTCGCACTGGTTCTGGTAGTAGTAGGTCATCTTGGTGCGGTGGAGGGCGCGAGCCTGAAACACAGCAACGGGAGATAGGCTGAGGTCTGCCCCAGAGGCCGAGCTGCAGCTTGCTCAATCTAGCAAACCCCACGTAAGCATGGGAAAGAGGGAGAAGGGGGAACCAGGAAATGACCTAACATCTCATTTCTAGGCTACACCTGGGCTGTTTTTCCTTAATCTTGCCCAGGTCACTCCTTTGTATGTTTCTCACTTTTTTCCCTCCCTAATAATATTTCGTGTTTCTTTTCTTGCTGCTACTGCCTGGAATTTAAAGTCCATTTTAAGAGAGAATTTTAGGATATTGGTAGGATTAGATTCCCAGTGAGGATTTGACTGTTTCCTCCCGTATCAGTATCTGAGGTTTCTCTGAAGACCGTAAGTGACTAGACACTAGTTAGTGAATAAATACAGTCAGCTGTTGCTGTCAAGAGACGATATGAGAGAGGAAATGCTGCTCTTGTGGAAGGCAGCAGTGCTCTGCTGACTGCAAACAGCAAGTTTGCTTGGATCTGGGTCTGTGCCTTAAGTGCTAATGGAACATGTAAGAACTGTCAGAGCAGGTGAGTGAGCAGTCTGTTTAATGTGCTCTTCTTGTCTGAAATAATGTAATGTGTTATCTACTTCTAATTAAAGAAGCCTGGAATGCTTCAGTAGATAATAACATAAGGCAGTTTCTCCTAGTGAAAAGCTAGATATGACAATCTTCAAAGCTTATGTGGATGTTCTAATGTCCTATTTTAAACAAAAATGAGTTGTACTTGCATGGTCATGAAATCACAGTCTTCTAGTGTGTGGATACTACCTCTATAGTAATAGAGCAAGAACACAGACAGCATCTATAGAGCAGTAAAGGTATAGTAGTAGGTCTGACTTACCAAGCTCAGTGAGAATGTAAGTCCTGAGATGCGAATGGAGAGTCCTGAGTTTCTTTCCCTTTTATATACTTATCTGGCTATGCTTACTGTACTTTAAACTCATGTTCATCACAAAACAAATTTTCTCATGCATGTCATTCCTCCAGTTGATGTAATTGCTTTTTTGGTTTGTGATTATTAGTCAGTTCTTGGCTTCCAAAAGCATGGCATTGCATTGCAGTTTTCTTTCATGTTGAGGCTTCCTGGATCAATTATATTTATAGAATTAGTATGGTGAAACTTGAGTTATAACAGGAAAGGGAAGGCAGGATATTTAGGATGGAATTGTTTGAGACTTGCAATCCCTATTTGGAGGGAGGGACAATGCTTCAGTGTGTGAAGTTTGTAAAACTCTGAATTAATTTGAGAAGAAACATTTCCAAGATTTTTGCAGAAATAATTGTAGGAACCGTTTCTTTGTTTCAAAATCACATTTTTAGGTCAAATTCTTGAAGCTATTTCCATTTATTACTCATTTGTATGTATGATTTGCCAAAAACAAAACTACGAGAAAGGTGTCTGGAATAGAGGAAAAGTATGGGCTGCAGCTTGCTGCAATAAATCTACTCACAGACACATTGCATACTGTGACCTAGCACAGAAAAAGTAACTTTGTATGAAAACAGATTTCCTTTCTTGCCATACTCCATTAATTACTACTAACAAAGTTTTTAACAGCTGTCTCCTAAGTCTTCATAGAATGAAGCTGGGGTCCTTTTTGGTAAGAACAGTGGAAATAATTCTGAGTAATATATGGATACAGAGCCAAAACTTTTCTTTATGAGAATGGTAAAATGAAGGCAGTCATGTAGCAATTAGTAATAAATCTAAAGGTTTTCAAACAGAAGTACTGATATTTGAAGTTTCCAGTCTTTGCCGCCTGTGTGAAATAAACTTCCAGGCTTGCTCTTCTGGAGAGCCAGTCCAAGCAAGGAAATCTCACTAGATCCAAAAATACCTGCTTAGTGTTTACACTTGGATTAGAAAATGATTAATTTGGGAGTTCATTAGAAGGAGCAAGATAAAACAAACATGAGCATATCTCTATAATAACTCTTCTTTTCCTGAGAAGGTCTGCAAATCTTAAATATTATTTAACATGACGTCTTTTTAACATTGCTGAGGTGTTTAACTTAATGCCATTAATTACAATGAATAATGCTGAGCCCTGTGAGCAGAATGCAACCCGG